ACATTGCACATCTTTTTCTCCCACTCTTTGAAATCACCTTCGTTTTCTGCCGTCCTCTGCACCCTCCTCTCATGTCACCCTCCTGCTGCTACCTTTCTCTACATCCGCTTCGTGGCGGACCCCTCCAACCTTGTTGTTGTTGTTGTTGTTGTTGTTGCTGGTAGCATAACAGCTACATCTCCGTCCCCATCTGTCGTCACCGTCCAGACCAAACCTAGCCGGGATCAGTCTCTAATCTAGTCAACCATGTTTCCAACAGGCCCCCAACAACGTATTCGACAGCGACGACAACCGTACTCGTCATCCGCTCGTGGCTCCATCTACTACACCCCCACCACAGGTCGCAACAGGCGCAGCGTTCCAGCTTCTCCAGCTTCTCCAGGAACCCCTTCATTTCCCAGTCCCTTGATAGGACCTCGTCAACGCCGACCACACTCGATACACATTATAGCGTATCCTGCCGGTTTCATTCCGCACGAGCTACGACCCGACCCGCTTGCCGAAAAGGACCGGAAGCGCAAGGAGCAGAAGGACAGGAAGGCTAGGAAAAAGGCGGAGAAGAAGCACAACAAGCGTCGAAAACTTGAGGAGAAGGCTCGAGAAAGAAGATCCGAGCAGCTTTCACCCGTTCGCTTACTACCCCCGGCCGGGGAAGCGGTCCACAAAGTCATAGACAAGGTCTTGTCTGTTTTCTCTATCAAAGCAAAGAACCCCCCGAAATCAGCTACGCTGGCGTCCCAGGCTACCGACACCGCCGCCAGGACGAGGAGATCGAGGCCGTCGAGTTTCATCGGCCACTTTCGCAGATCCAAGTACGAGACAACAGTACGTCCGGAACCGACATCTGACCAGTCCACCATGACTGCTGTCGCCTCTATACCCGCATCACCCGTGGTGCTCCCCAACAACCGGAGCAGCATGGTGTCTGCTTGCACTTGCAAGTCGGCAGTTTCATCAGTTACTGAACTTCAGAAGCCCGTTGCGTCCGGAAGCGGTGTGACATGTTCGATAGTGTTGGCGGAACCTAATGTCTTCTTGACTGGGTTCGACCACAATGACCGTGCCCGCGAGGAAAACCACGGCGCATCTGCTTTGCTCCGCGGAAAGCTCCAGCTAAACGTGTCAAAGAACGTTAAGCTCAAGTCTGTGACATTGAAGCTCATCGGCAAGGCGAGGACAGAATGGCCAGAAGGCATTCCACCCAACAAGACGGAAACATACGAGGAGCAAGTTCTGCGAACGCAGTCCTTGGTCTTTTTCCAGGCAATCCACGGCGGACAGTGGGAGACGGAATATGGAAACCAGTGCACTTACTCACTCAAGGGAAGTGGGTGTAGCCACAATCCTCGGAGTTCTCTGTCATCCAACTTCTCCAATGGTTCCTTCTCCCACCTCACTGGAAAGAGCCGCCACTCAACCAGCCTGACTGCCAAGGAGCTCAAGAGGCTCTCGCTTCAGTCCGTCAACTCTCGGAGCTTTGGTAAAGGCGAGTCTCCCTTCGCAAGCCAAATCCATGCAAAGGGGTACAAGGTGTTCCAGGCTGGTACATACGAGTACACGTTTGAGCTGCCCATCGACCATCACCAGTTGGAGACCACCAAGCTACAATACGGATCCGTCAAGTGGGAGTTGGAAGCAACGGTAGAACGTGCGGGCGCCTTTAAGCCCAATCTTCACGGCACCAAGGAGGTGTCCATCGTTCGGTTGCCAGATTCCATGTCGCTCGAAATGTCAGAACCCATCTCCATCAGTAGGCAGTGGGAAGATCAGCTGCACTACGATATTATGATTTCTGGCAAGAGCTTTCCCATTGGCGCCAAGATCCCTATTGCCTTCAAGCTCACTCCGCTGGCCAAGGTTCAAGTACACAAGCTTAAGGTATTTGTGACGGAGAGCATTGAGTACTGGACCAACGACAGACACGTAACCCGCAAGGATGCTGGAAGAAAGATCCTGTTGCTCGAAAAGACAGCCGGGAAACCCCTCGATAAGCAGTTCGAGACCAGCGACTTCCGTATTTTGAGCGGTGGTGAACTAAGCCCCGAGGTACGTGAAGAGGCCAGGCGGTCCGCGGCAGCGCGAAGGATGATGCAAGCAGCCAGGACGAATGCGCCACCGCCGCCTCTGCCGAACCCGACGGAAAACCTGTTGGGTGATCTGGATCTCGGCTTGGAAACGTTCTGGGGCAGTACCGAGCTTGAGATGAATGTGCAAATCCCGACATGCGCAATGATGAGCCGGGATAAGAATCTCCGGCTTCACCCAGACTGCAGTTGGAAGAATGTCAATGTCTTTCACTGGATTAAGGTATGTGCAATCTTTCCTGTCAAGCCCGTGGAATCTCAGTTCACTAACACTTCACCGCCAGATTGTCATGAGGATATCTCGACTGGATCCTGAAGACCCCTTGGGCAAGCGTAGACGCCATTTCGAAATTAGCATCGACAGCCCGTTTACTGTACTGAACTGCCGTGCGACGCAGGCGAATACCGCGCTTCCTCAATACGGTCAAGATGGCCCCATGCCTTTCGAGCGTCAACAGACATCCTGCGGTTGTCCTGATGCCGATGTTCTGGATAGGAGCGCATCGAGCTCGTTTGGGCAGTTGCAACTCGTGGAGCAGGATGGCCTGAGCCCCAGCGGCAGCCGATTGGGCCTCAACAGGCTCAGCGCATCGGTTTTGCCCTCTATCCCTCAAGCCGCACACGTCCATGATTCACATGCACCTGGTGGCTTGCCTGTTAACCGTGCCCGGGGTCACACTCTCCCTAGCCCTCTTGAGGCTCAACGGCCCATTCATCTTATCCGCTGCCCATCATACAACCCACCGGCATTTGATGCTGATGAGCCCCCGCCACCGCTCCAAGCCGATTTGATTACGCCACCGCCTCACTACGACGCCATCATTGGTACGCCCAGTGTTGACGGTCTAGCAGACTATTTTGCCAGGCTCGCGGACTATGAGGATACCGAGCGACCACAGATGGGTGACCGAAGCGGTAGCCAGGAGAGTGTTGCTACACTAAGAGGCATCCCTAGGCCCACCAGCAGAGACGAAGGCTTCTTCGCTTCCAACGAAGTCGTAACTGGCTCTGATTTGCCAGTTAACAAGGACTACGACGACGACTCGTCAAGCAGCGCGGACGAAGAAGAAGGACCCGCAAGGCCGCATCGTGGTGGCCGAGTCAATGTTGCCAATCCAAGGACACCAGGTGGCAGGCTCATTCCGAGTAGGAGTTTGGAGATTGAGCGCCCTGTGATGCGACTCGACATGGGCTCTTTGACCACGAGGAGAAGATGATTATGATCATGACTTTCAACGACTCGATATATGTGCACAGTCAACGAAGTTGGTGTGCAAACAAGGCGTTTGAGCATTTTGCATTTACTGGGCTGGTCCATTGATAGACGGTGTTTTCCCAACCCATTGAAGCATTTCTGTCTGGGAACATGTATAGAGACCAGGAATGGGGAGAGGGGAGAAGCTGGAGTTCTTTTTTCGGCATGGCAGGGAATAGGAGGGTAGTTTTTGCAATGATGGCATGAGAACACATAAAAAGACAAGGGCAGAGGGCGGCTACGGCGGCTTGATTATGTTCATTTACGAATGGCGTTTGGGAGAGGGAACTAGTGGATTGATTGACTTGCACAAGGGCAAAAGGGGATAAACTTGATACCATTAACATGATGATGTTTTCATTTGCCTGTTCTTTCAGACTTCATAAACAGTTGCTAGACTGTGTGGGCTTTGCATAGCATGGAACTGGATGCGAAGGACGGACGAGATATGTGATTGATATTTGTATTGCGAGAGCTGACTCAGGAGGAGCAGAGCAGAGAGTATCATCATTGTAACTCGTTCGTTGGTTGTTATCACCTAATAGGAAAAAAAGGAGAGTGTAAAGGAAGAGTAGTTTTATATACCCTTAAATGACTTGTCTTCATCATCTCATGGTCAGTTCCGAGACGATGTGAATACCCACAATATGTGAAGGTGGAATCGTGGAGAGTCTGGAGTCCTGGAGACGTGGGAGAATGGAGTTGAAGACTGGGTTGTTGAAGATCTCGGAAGATCACAAGCCACCGTTGAAGCGTGGTTGTGGAAAGTGAAGACGGAGAAGCGGAGGCTTGGCGGGGCCACCAACTTTCAAAGAACATGGAAGCCCACTGAGCCAAGTGATGGTTGCCGCTTTGCCAGCTGAATGATTCTCTTGGCATCCAAAATGACACCCAGATGGCACCTGGTCACTCCCTGTCGTTCTCCCTTTTTGCCTGGGTCGCCCTTTTTTGGACTGCCAGCGCCCTGGGCCTGGATTCAGTCAGCTGCAGTTCCCAGTCCCACACAGCGTCCACACTGGCCTTCAGTTCATCTTTCAGCTCCCGCTTCTCACGGTCGCAACCAACAAACACGAGGGACACGGCGGAGAAGCCTGTTCTTTTGCGCATCATTTCTCAGGTGGCTGGTGTCGTCCAACTTTCTCTCGTCGTTCATCGTCGTCGAGTCAACCATCGAAACACACTCATTGAAACATCTCCATCAACAACACACACTTTCGTTTTCTCAAGCCAATATTCTATCGCATATCGAATTACACAGCGCAGCGCTGTCCGACTTTCGCTCAGCGGCAACATCTCCCATCAAAGTTCCAGACTCGGACGATCTATACGGGCAATTTACAGTAGCACGGACTCCACTACGCGCCCGTCTCACTCGAACCCAAGCAGACGAGAATACGAAAGAGAGACACAACCTCCTCCCTAATCTTACGCACATTCGATTTTCATTTTTCGCGACGACAGACCGAATTGTCGAACCTGTGGAGGTCGTGGACTGACGCCGACTATTCCTCCTGTCCTGTCTGTTTCTCTCTCGGCCCCGCCCCGTGCGTCGACCTTTTTGCTCTCTTCTCGCTTTCTCCGGACTCCGACGACACAAACGAAACCCTTCCTCGCCGAACGACCCTTGAACCCGGCCCTCGACGGCCTCACATATTCCAACCATGGGCGCATTCGGGGACTTCGCCGACATATGTCGCATAGCGCCTATCCCTCTTTGTGCGTCAGTTGGCCCGATAACATCGATCGCCAGCGGCGTCGGCATTGAGCCGGATTGCTATGCGCGCAACATTGAGGTGGCCAACACCATCATTTTCCAGGGCGCGGCGAGCGTGATGCATATTGTTGCGCTGGTCATGACGGTGGTTATGCTGTTGCATGTGAGGGGGAAGTTTACTGCTGTTGGTAGGTTATCTTTACCTCTTTGCCCGGATGGAAGTTGGAGTGAAATGGGTTGTTAACGAAACGATGCGTTCCAGGCCGCAAGGAAATCACCACCTTCTTCTACCTATACATGATCCTCACCTTCCTGTCCCTGTGCATCGATGCCGGCGTCATCCCCCCACACTCCGGTTCCTACCCTTACTTTGTCGCCGTGCAAGCTGGTCTCTCCTCCGCCTTGGTCACCTGCCTAGTCATCAACGGCTTCGTCGGCTTCCAGCTCTACGAGGACGGCACTCCTCTGTCGTTGTGGATGCTCCGCCTCAGCTCCTTCATCGCATTCGTCATCTCCTTCCTCGTCAGCCTGGCCACGTTCAAGTCCTGGGTTGGCTTAGGCCCCACTAACACTGTCGGCATCTTCATCGTGCTCTACCTGCTCAATGCCATCCAGCTTGCAATCTATGTCCTGATGCAGATCATCCTCGTCACCCGCACCCTCCAGGACCGCTGGCCGCTGGGCGACATCGCCTTCGGCGTCTTCTTCTTCATCGCCGGCCAGGTCCTCCTCTACGCCTTCAGCTCGCGCATCTGCGAAGGCATCTCGCACTACCTCGACGGCCTCTTCTTCGCCACGACGTGCAACCTGCTGGCGGTGATGATGGTGTACAAGTACTGGGACTCGATCACCAAGGAGGACTTGGAGTTCTCGGTGGGCATCAGGATGAACAACTGGGAGGTCAAGGAGCTGTTGCCACAGGGCCCGGAGGAGGACAGGAGGGCGACGGTCTATGCGGATCCGATTTACGAGGGACATCATTACCCTCCTGGACCGGGAACGGGCAGTGGTGCGAGTGCGAGCGGGTATGAGGGTGGACATCACAGGCGGGAGAGCCATGGGTATACGCCTAGTCCCAACAGGCAGTCTTTGAGGTATTAGAATGCCTGAGAAGACGGTCTGGGATGTGTTGTGATAAGGAATGAAGCGTAGAGAAGGAGATGGATGCATGGACAGAGAGGGTTTGATAGATTATGGTTGTGGTTGTGATGTGTTTCAGCGGTTGATTGATACCATGTACTCACGGCACTCACTCGTCATGTTACTTGTTTTTTGGTTGGTTAAGAGGCGGGCGCAAAAAATGCACAAAGGCACGCAAGGCTATGTTATGGTTTTTGGTAACGGACTTTTTTTTGAGCAAAGCAAAGCAAAGCATCCCCAACAGACAGACGGTGTGCTTGTTGGTAGTTCATCATTCTTTCTTTTTGGTGTATTGGCGTTATGGCAATGGGGCATGTGGTCGTCCGACGATAACAGACCTCATAAAAGCTCTTTATCTCTTTTTGGTAATATTTTTTGTTTTATTAAGGATCACATCGATAGCATTATACCACTTTACATTTCTGTATTCCACCGGTCTTCAGGTGCTTGATAGCATGAGCATGAGTGATGGCCTTGTCCTTGATCTCGGAATGATATGGTGCTCAAATCCAATGCTACCAGATAGGAACGTAGATAAAAGGAGATAATAGATAGCCGAGGTATCTCCCGAAAGATTGACTGACAATGCCTGTGCTCTCGCGAAATATCCGGATGGACGGCACGGGGTAGGCTCGTATATACAGACAGCAAGTAATCATGGTCAACATCTAAGGTTGTATAGCTAAGGTCGCTTGACAAGATTGCCACTGTTCGTGGGTTAGGGACTTGGGGGAGGGGTTGGAAATTCGGGTGGTGCGTGGTGGTGATGAATGGATGCTGCAAGCCAAGCTGACTGTTAGATGCAGCCACTATAAGCCCACGAACATCGCCACCTGTAGAGCGATTAGTTAAATGACTATAATAACTGTGCCGTGCAGCTTGCTCAGACTCCCAGTCGGAATTGCGCGCCAGAGGCTCCATGTCTTGGCGTCACCTTTCACTCAGATCCACAGTTTCTATAGCGAGGCTGCTCACCAAACTGGTAACGTACCATCCGCAGGTATAATTATACCATTGAGCATTGAGAGGCAACCTGAGTGAATCCTGAGCCGATGGCACCCATTCAACTCCCGTGTGCCATGGGTTAGTATAACTAGGTATTTCAGCCCCTTTTCCGTCCACTTGTCAGATTGGCAACTCGATTAATCAGACCATCGCGCAACAATGTGAAATGTGAACAAAGAACAGTTTGACACCGGCAGGTTCCAATGTTAAGATACCGATGAAGTAGCCCGTGTGTATCTCTGTGGGAAATACTGCACAGTGTCTGGTAAACAGAGGGGATACCGCGCCCACTATATCTCCGACCTGACATGGACGAGGTCTCCTCTCACCACACGAATTTCCTTTCTGAAGCCTGTGAAGATATAAAGCAAGGAAAAAGAAACTCCGTCGTCAGCCTGGTGATGGACGTCACGCTGGGGAGACTTTTGTGTTATTTGAATGCAGTCATATCATGGTTCCTTTTTTCGGGATGGCAGCAGGACGGGGAAGCCTGGTAATCTGGAGAGGAGGAGGCAATAGTAATTTGCACATTTACGATATTTACGACATTTCACCACTTATAATACGACGGGGCCCGGTCGCTCCTTATTTCCCGGGTCCGCGATTCCTGCTTGCTTGCTCGCCGCATTCGCGATTGCACGACCGACCGCACGACTACGGTACCTGAGGTATGTACAAGTGGAAGTCAGGTCGTTCGGACGGAGTTTCCTAGTTCGCCGAGGTTCGGTTTTTTTTATCTGGCCTGTTACCTTGTTAGTAGAATTAGCGATGGAATTAGTACCCGAGCATCACAGCATGTCGGTTCGGAATACAACAAAACTGGACGACGCTAGGTTCCGCTCGATTGTCAATAACGTCACGAAAATCATTTTAGTTTTAGTTCACGCTTCGCTCTTTTTCCGGTGGGACCCTTGTCCTTACCACTTCAGTTCCTTACCAGATGATATTTCAATGATGAATGGGTCTCTCTTTCCTTTTCTCTGTCTGTATAGGACATTTGGTTCGGTTGGCCGTTCGTTGGTGGTTCCTTCCCTCGGCGGCCCCATCAGCTCGTGCTGCTGCGTTTTCTTTTCTGCGCTTTTCGGGTCCGACGATGCGATGCAATCAATTGGGGCTTCCGGAGTAATTATTCCATTCCCTCGCGCTCTTTGTCACATTTGTCACTTCAGTCTTCCTGCCTAGACCTGGGTAAAAGGCAATCCGAGCTTTTTGCACACTCGGCACTTAACTCACTGCAGAGTACTCGTCATGGCCACACACCTTGGGACTATCTCTCCTTTCATAAAGATGCTGACAGTGTCGCGCGCACTATTACACTACAAGCAATGATAATAAGACGGATGAAGCGATGACGGATGAGATGAGTCGCATTGATATTGTGAGAATCCCTCCCTCGTTATTCAGTGCAACCGTGACCCATTTTGGGAAATCTGTCAGGTTCCCAACTAGTCTCCCTTAGGTTGGCATCACCCCCTATACGGACGAGGGAGCGAAAGGCATGTGCAACCAAAACAAGGACCGGTTGCGCCCAAATTAAAATATCATTCGGTAATTTTCCCCAAATCCTCGACTCCATTTTACAGCTACCACCTGCCACCTATAGACGCCATGACAGCTCACAAGTACCGCCACCACCGTATACATATGCGGCGGGTACTTGGGATCACTGACTATAGGACTTTCCAGGGATACAACTTCTACACTGGGATACCTGGAATAGCAACACACAAGAGATAGCAAAAACTAATCCACTCTTTTTTTGCCAGTCCACATGCCCATCCCATCCCCATTCCCTTTCGTCCACACCCCACGTCCGGGCCCACGTCCAGCACATGTAATAGGGCCTAATGGCAATACTAATTATCGTATGTCCATGCACGCACATGGCAGCTGCCTTGTCTCATCAGTCAGTCAGTCAGTCGCAGTCCTATAGAGGGGAGGAGCTCATGAGGAGAGGAGCAGCTGGTTTCGTAATGATAGGAAAACATTGCGCAGCCTAACCGTGTGGGAAGCAAGAAAAAAATCAAAAAATCATCAAGGTACTTTTGACTTGTACCTTTCATTCACCATTTTTTGCCTTGCGCGTGTCATATCTCATCTTTTTCTTCTAGTCTTTCTTGCACCGCCTTCCGGTCTCCGATACTTCTTGTTTTCCCTTGCCCTATCTTTTTCTCCAACTAGGTAGTGAGGTATCACCGCAACATCTCATCACTTACCATTTGGGTTTTACTCGCCTCGTATCCAATCTCCCATTCCACTTCCGCTTGTGTGCACACACAATACTTAGTAGGTCCTATCTACATCATCTATACTGGCCCCGTCTGATCTGATCTCACCGTTTCCCCCGAGAAGTAATAAAACCCCCCCATCCGGGACGTAATTGCCCGCACCACTCGCACGTCCCCTCCCTCTTTTTCTCCTTTTCCTGCATCTCCCATTCAAAGTGCATGAGGAGGACGCAACTACTATACTATATACCACGCAACATTTCCAACCTCACTCACTGCGGTGCCATCACATGCACCACCATTTAGGTAACCATTCACTTCATCTGAGTCTGGCCCAACCTCAGTTTTTCTCCTAAACTTGCCACGTTCACACATTTTCCTCCACTTTCGTTTGCCTAATCCTGTTTCCTGTTCCCAACTTCATTTTTATTAACTCATTCCTTTCAGTCCTCGCCAGTTTCGGTTCCAAGACACCGGCCAAGTAGGAGATCAAGCGTTCATTGCCTAGTAGAGTACAATACTAGGTCCGACCTTACCTCCTTATTTTATTATCGACTGTGTACCACACCCGTCCCACGCGGTAAGGGAGGCCATATGTCACCATTAGCCCTTCCCGCTCGAACCGGCACCATGATATCCGGCAACTCCATCACCAATGGCACCGGCGCCAGCACAACAACGCAAAGCACCACCAATGGCGCTGCTGCCCGCGCTTCACAAGAAGACACACCCATGAACCTCAACGCCACAGCCTGGGACCAAATCATGGCCAAGTACTGGACCTCCACCAACGCCCACCGCGAACGCGAAGATACCGAGCTGCGCGAGGCCTTTGACCGAGAGAATTCCGAACTAGCTGACCGCCAGTTACGGCTCAGCCAGGAGCGGGTCAAGCTGCTGGAACAGCTCCAGGCCGTTGATCAGCAATGGAAGGAGATCGAGGCGCAAAGGAAGGCCAAGGAGGAGGATATGAAGAGGAGGCTTGAGGCGATCAGGGAGGAGAGGGAAAAAGATGATGAGTTGAAGAGGAGGTACTTTGAGGAGAGCAGGAGGAATGCGGCATCGGGGGAGCAAACGCAGGACCCGGCAACTTTGGCAATGTTGGCAAAGAAGGCCCAGGGCGTGGTTGCTATGGTCGGGGGCGAAATTCGAAATGGGAATGGCTCACCTTCGGGATTGTCGTCGCAGCGGGAGACGTCGCTGAGAGAGGAACAGCCACGACATGCGTTGCCTAGCCGGCCTAGGGAAAGTGGTAGGACGCCGAGCGAGGAGCAGGACCTTCAACAGCAACTACGCAATGAACAACAGCAGCAGAAGGAGAGGGCCGAAAACGGGCTGGATGGAAGGGCCGTGGACCTCGACAAACTCCCCAAGGTTTACAATGGCGCGGGAGTGTGTGTCGGCCATGTGCGGCCCATCAACCTGAGGAACCATTTGACCATGCATATCCAGCAACAGCCGATCAAGCGCCACGTTCAGATCCGCCAGGGACGAAACTTTACCACCGAGACGTTGGAAACCATCTACGAGCCGAGCGACAAGAAGGGCGCCAAGTGGTTGAGCTGTTGGATCCAAGCTACGGGCGACGTTCAGGAAACCCCCTGCGCGTCGTGCCAAACTCGCCAAGGTGTTTTCCCGCAGTGTATCATCCTGGATGCTGAGGGGTTCCCTAGGTGCGGCAACTGCGAGTGGAATCGTCAGGGATGCAGTGGTGCCTCTAAGCATGCAGATCATGAGATGGCTGAAGTCAATCAACAGGCCACGAACGGGGAGGTGGCTCGGGCCCAGGAAGCTCCCGTTGTTACCAGTGGCTTCAAGGCTGTGAACGGCGCATCGGCGAGTCAGAAGACAGTCAAGGTGGCCAGCACCGTACCCAACGGAGACGAGCAGCCAGCACGATCCAAACTGCCCTCGGGGCGCAAGTCACTTCCGAGCACGCGCAAGTCTAGTGTACAGCCCGACTCGATTGCTCCTACACCCCTCGAAGGCAGCCCGGCACCCGACAGCGATCACAATGAGGACCTCCCGCCCATCAACCAAGCAGTGCTCGCTCTCCGCGATGACGGAACCGTTTTTACGGATCCTCCTTGCATGCGCGGTGTTCCCCTCGCCAGGATCGGCCCCGACCATCCTTACTGGGATCCCGAATGGGTCGCGCTCGAAGAGCCGGTCCAAGCCCAACTGACGAAGTGGTCAGAAAAGTTTGAGAAGCTGAAAAGCGAGGGCGGCGCGGCGTCGACAAAATATCTGGCTGGCCGTCAACAGAATCGTGGCAAGCTGGTTTTGGAATTTCTGGCGAATGGGGAGTTCCACCCCTATCAACTCATGGCAAAGCACCTCATCAACAAAACATACACGGGCTATGATAACTTGTATCGTATGGTACAGGTGCTACATGAACTTGCTAGGTTTAAACAGCTGGACGTTACGCCTTCGCAATGGCTTAGGCACAGACTGCACGAAATGCACGAGGAGCAGGGTGATAAGTTCAACCTTGGCAAGGCGGTGGAAAACCTCTACTCGGATCCCAAACTTCGACAACTCCGCAGCGAGAGCGGATTTGGAAATATTGGCCGGCCGAGGGGTTACAAGCCTTCCGTGGCCGATAAGGGAGAGGACGGATCAGCTCCCAAGAAGACAACCAAGAAGAGAAAGGCTGCTGCTCCTGCGGCAGATGACCCTGCCAACCAGTCTCTCATGGAAGAGCAACTCCGCGTCACAGAACCCCCTCAAGCCGACGGAGCTACTGCCCCATCAAAACCCCCATCCCCCCATTCCTCGCCTCCGTCTGCCCCAGAAGACATCGGTCACGCCCACGCGCATCCCCATCCTCCCGTCGCCAAACACCACCAACCTTCCCCTTCCGTGACCCTCAAGATGCTCGCTCCAGAGGAAGATCTCTACTACGAAGGCTACACCTCGGACGACTCCTTCTCAGGCGACAAGATCCAAGAAGTCGACTGGCGCTTGCTACAGGTCCGTCACCGGGAAATGACCACCAACACAGGCATAACGCAATACTGGCACTGGCTGGGCACGGGCGAGGACCTGACAGGTCGCGGAGAGGAGAACTGCTTCGAACATCAGGTGCTCAAAGACGTCAAGGGCCGTCGTGTGACTTGGGGCGTGTACAAGGAGCCGATCGATTTCCATTTGAGACTGGAGGAGATCGAGGAGGTGGTGTATGCGCCTGAGGGAAGCGGGTGTTTGAAGATTTTGATTAGCGTCAAGAAGGAGGCTGGGTATGAGGATGAGTCGAGAGGGGATGTCTTGGCCTGGTTTAAGAGGGAGAGGACCAAGAGGCGGTTTTTGACCTTTTTGAGGAAGAAGGGGAAGAGGGTTGTCCGGAGTACTGCGTATGTATTATTTTCTGTTCCGGATGAGAGAGTGGTTGATGTGGTGAGAGTTGTTACTGACTTGCTGAAAAAAGGGCGTACGTCGAACAAGCCTGGGACGATATGGACTCTGTCGTCTTGCCGCATGAGGATGAATAGGCTTTTAATTCCCCTGGCGAACAAAAGCGCGACCATCTCGAGAACCGCAATACGGAGCTAGGGGACGGAAGAAGATATGCATGCGCCTTTGGTCGCTAGTTGAGGGCATGGCACGCGCAGATCAAGCCCGATCAGTACCTTGATCATTTAGGCTGAGCGTTCGAGACGTATCGAGGGTCGTTTGGCAGTATTGAATATCTGAAAGATCATCATATTGGCGAGGAAGAGACGGAAGAGTATGTGAGAAGTGTTGGCGAAGTTTTCACGGTGGCGGTTTAAATTTGGTTTTTTTTTTTTTTTTTTTCCCCTTTGCGTCCAGATGTTCTGCTTCACGGCACCTCTTGTTTTGTGTTTTTCTGTTTTTTTTTTGTTTGTGTGTGTGTGTGTGTGTGTGTGGCATCGATAGCATCGACTGTGGGTGTTTCCTGGTTTCTTCTGCAGGCGTTTTGTTCCATTGTTGATCTGGAGAGAGGAGTTTGGGAGTTGCTGTACTGTACTGTACTGTATGTTATATGTTCTCTCTTCCTTGCATTTCCTAACTATGGCTTTAACACCAGCCTCACTGGGGAGTAGGATATGTACTTGCAGCGAAAAAGCGTCAAGGGGTGGTTTTTTACTACTTAGCTTGTTTTACTGCTTGTCCTTTTGCGGGCGTTGGTGGGGTGGAATATTGCGTTTAAAAGTTTGTTGTGAGCGAAGAATGAGTGGTAATTAGAGTAGCAGAAATAATAGGGGAGGTATCGCGTGGTTGCTGTTGAGTCGTGGCCTTGGAGTAAAGTGACTGGTTACAGATGCCCTTTGTGACTGGAGTTGAGGAGACGGATTCGTATTTCGTGAGGAACTTTGAGGGTTCAACAATTTACGGCTGGAAGGCGAGTTGACGGAGTAGGATTAAAGGCAATTCAGGTAAGGTTCGACCTGCAATTAGGAAGCACAACAGATTAAGGATTTCCAAGGAACCGGGTTCTTCATAGACACAGTGATCGGAGTCAAAACTCTTGGTTATCTTCCTTGAGAGGATGAACTGCATGAAAGGAAGCACCGTCGTTATGGTAGACACGTTCGTGGAGGAGGATTGTGATCGGTTCATATACGCTGGTTCGAGACATCAGGATGATGGCCAGGTTAGGGACCGCCGATGCACTCGGGCTCTTCCCAGATAAGCTGGTCGATATTTGAGCTCTTTGCTATCCCGCATGAGAAGAAGGACTGCAAGAAAGGGAACAATGTGTCTTTATGGTATCGTATTCCTCTTTACATAACATTCATATTGCGTATCGTACATGGTGGAAGAGAGGGAATAAAACGGGGAGCGTGTTGCCAGCCGATTTGCGAACAACAGCCACCACGGATGTTTTTACCCATATCGCAGGACCCTTCAGCATAGAGACCCAACGAACAGAAACCACTCCTCTGACTGGCTCTGGCCGCCACCATCCATCGAGTATCCCTGGACGTCCTTTTCCCTCATATTTGATCTGCCAGTGTCCGCATGCCGTACCGTCTGGTCGAACCGTTGATTGTCCTTGTGCGTTCGTTGAGGGTGTTCGTTGGCCTTGAGTGGAATAGGAACGTAGTGTAGTGATGCCGTCCAGGTTGCGAACCAGTAGTCATTTCATATTGCCTGCCCATTTTGTGCACGCCATACCGCCTCTCCCTATTCTGTCCGACCCATCCTACTTCATCCCCATCCCCTCTCAAGCTTGCTTTTCACAACAAGCTTAAGACTCCTCCAAACTCCTCCAAGGAATCGCCCCAAACCGGCTCAACGTCTCCAGCTTTCCATCGCCCAACTTGACGTTCGCCGTGCGAATAACGCGCGGATCCGCCCTCATGGTCCTGCGAACCTCCTCGTGCGTCGCGATGCTGGAGTCGTAACGCATGACGAAATAGTGGCCGCGCGTGTGGCGCTGCTGGTTGGTGGAGATGGGACGAGGCAGGAGGAAGGTGCCCCAGTTCTTGATGTCGCGAATTACGCCGCCTTGGTTGAGGATGAGCTTGCCGGCTGTTAGGACGAGTCTGTGTTTTTTTGTATGTTAGTACTAGTTCGTTATTCGAAGAGTCGAGAGGTGAGGTTGTGTCGGTTCGTGGGAGTTCGAGGTGGAAGGTATGGTCGAGGGGCATGACGGTGGTGGTGGTTGCGGCGGTTGCGGTGGTTGACGGGGAAATATCTGGTCGAATACGTAGGGAGAACGAGCTCGAAGTCGACCGGAAGTCGGGTGGGAAGAAAGGAAGGGTCAGATGGGAGGGTAAACATACTCCTTCACCTCGGCAATGTTGCCCGGGCGGACCTATTTCGAGATTGAAGTTAGCACGTCTGTTTCTGTTCCCTTTCTCCGCCTGTCTGCCTCTTTCTCTTTCTTCGACCTCATTGCTAGTAACTAAGAGTGACGTACAATACCAATAGTCTCATACAACATCTTGTCTTGTCTGGTGGTTGGGCGGTCGGCTGGGGGGAAACAAAGACGAAGACCAAGGACGTTCGTTGTTCGCGATGCGAAGCGATCGAAAGCGCGTATAGTAGATTGGAACTCGACGTCGGCCGGCGTCGATAAGAAGTTCGGAGCCCCACACCTGGAAACCTCAAGGTACCGCTGTGGCTGCTGTTGTGACCGGGCCCAGAAGGCGTTGCCGCAGTGCCGCAGCGGGTGTGCCGCTCGCCGGGTGCCGCTGGAAATTTTGTGGGGCTCGAGAAGAGGTTCGAGATTCTGCCAGGTTCACCGCTTACCGGATTGGGTGTACGTCCTTGGTAAAGGAAGGAGGGAGGTTGTTGACTTCCCACTTTCTCAAGTTCACCTCTTATTAACAACAGTAACTGTAGAAACATTTGTCGGGGTCATTGGTCTCTCAAAGAAGCAGGTTTGAAAGGTGTATAACGAATGAAACTCGTAAAAAGTGGGCGAAAACCACTTGGTTAGTTTACATTACTTAGTCTCTTCAACTCTCACGTCTCTCTCGGTAACGTACCTCTGATTCTAGAAACATGTCTGAGGTCTACTGATCTGCCCAAGATTTAGTTCTAATAGCTCTATCAAGAATGAAACGGTCTTCTAAATCGACGAAAACTACTTGCTCCAAAACTGATTCTCAGGCCGCTCATTCACCTCCCGAAGGCACTTCCATGTGGTTATAAGTGTATACTCTTATGATATTGTGTATCTGGGAATGCGCTGTGTAAATGTATTCTTTGCTCTTTGCTCTTTGCGAACCAACCACAACCACCTTCTCTCCGACCTCTGAGATTTCGATGGATGCGCCGCTTTGCCGCAGTTCAAACATATTCGAAGAGGGATGATAACCCCAAGCCTGCCTGCCATGGCCCATGATAGCCACGAAAGCCTTCCCACCATCCGCTGGTAATATCATGGTCCTCAACGCTTCTTCTCCTTCCCCTTCCACAGATGCTGCTCACTAGGACAAACTTTCTAGTAATCCTCAACATCCATACCCTCCCCTCCACCTGCTGTCCCGGGAGCAGGCGCCTTAGCAATCCCCTCCTCCCGACACCAGAGCACGAAATCGTCAATCACGCCGGGCCACGCCTGATCCTCGTTCCAAAAGCCCAACGTCTCATCCACCAGCGTCTTCTCCGCAAATGCCAGCGTCTGGTTCCACATATCCTTGTTGACGCTCCTCGTCCACTTTTCTGCCAAAAACCGCTTCCATGCGCCCAGCCAATCCACGTTCTGGCTCTTCCACGGCCGTGGTCCCGGTACTCCCGTATCTGAAGACTCGGCGGTACCCAAGAACAAATCCCAGAATACCAAGGCGACATCCTTCTCCAGCGCCTTTTGGGCAGGTTCCGCCTTACCCAGGCCGAAAGCGAACTGGTAGACCTTTTTGAAGTAGGCCGGATTTTGCGGCAGGTTCTGAATGCACATCTGGACGTAGTTCCTGTGGGCGGTCGGGTCGGCGGGGATGCGTTGCTCGAGGTAGACGGCGGTCCAGCCTTCGACGAAACCTTGGCGTGAGATTTGGCCGATGGAGTCGGCACGGACGATTTCGAGGACCACGAAAGCTTCGAAATTCTCAATGTTGGCGCCCATGGAGGAGATGTAGGCTTGGGCCGACTCGGCGCCGATGGCGTCGACGGGTTTTCCGGCTCCTGCTGTTGTTCGGTCCTCGTCTACATGAGGTTAGTTAGTACGAGGGGAATAATGTGTAAAGAGGCCATAGAGACATACCGCTGATCAGACGGTCGAACAATTGATTCAACGCATCATCTGGGCCTCGCTTCCTTTCCCGATCGTTCATATACCTGTATTCGAAGTATAAAGTTAGTCTTCCGTTTTTCAACCTGATAATCTTCAAAATAATAAGCAAGGCAATCAGAAGCCAACACGAACTCTAATTCTGGCGCATTTCCCAAGACTTCCGAGTTCGATATCCCCTTGGGACCTTTGCGCAGTGGACCCAATTCCTCATTTCTAGTGGTGGTTATGACAGGTTTATAAACTTGAGATCCTCCAACTGAAAAGACCCAGGCTCATCATTGTCCGTCATTATTCGGGGATATCGGGAGTAAGATTGTGACCGCGAGTGGCTCTGGCTCCCCTCCGTCTCAGTCCCAGTCGCATCTTCGCTTGGAGTAGCCGACTTTGCTTGCTTGGCTGGGTTGCGCCCATTCCTCTTTTGGAAACAAGAACCAAACAGCTTCGAAAACATGTTACTGTGTGTCTTTGAAGAGCCAAGTTGAAGTGCAAAAAGTGGTAACAAATGCCTTTGATGGGAAAGGGGTCTGGGTCTTGTTGCTTTCATTCGCCAGCGGGAAGGACTTCAAGGTTGAGCTGTAGAGATAGCCTGGCCTGGGGAGGGCTCCACTGGAGTGGCCGCGGTGTGCATTCGAAATGCAGTGTATGTAGTTGGCGTGGTTGCATTCGTAGCGCCTCTCTCATCTCCCGTCTAATGATGGTTTTGTTTCCTTCAAAACAGAAAACGAAAACCCAGGGGTTGCAGACAGATGTTGACGGTTGCAAAAAGGAAAACCGCAACACGACTCCCTAATAAGACATTGTGTCGGGATGTCGATCCCTTGTAGGACTCATTGGTGGTAAACAGCTTGTAACTAGCTGTAGGAAAGCTGTAGGGAGTCCTGATCCGAACGACCGTCTTCTTTGGCCGGCTTCGACCCGGCCCCGAAACGAAACACTTCTCCTACGTCCCAACGTATAATTCGAGGGGATACAGATATTGCGTGCTGTGCTCCGTGGTGCGACATTGCAAATTTACATGGGGGTATGGTATGGGTATAGTCGGTAGTTGCAAAGAAGGGATGAGGACGGACGGAAGGTGACCTACAGATTCGCAGCAAGTTCGACATTGTAGTTTGCGTTTCGGAGATACTGTGATTCAAAGTTCAAATATTAGCTTTCTTGTTCGTAGTCGTACTCGCACAACGTGAAGGGTAGAAAGTTAGGTAGAAATGTAGAGCTGTGAAGCGAAAGGGACGTTGTTGCATAGGCGCATAGCATGGTAGGCAACAAGTCCAGTCGGACCGATAGAGAACCATATAGCCTTCCTGCGGGACAACAGTCTCCGAGGTTCCCTTCTCGCGATAAAGCAGCACACGATCCCTTCCTTCCCATGACATTGGATATTCTTGGGCTTTTGCTGCCTGGAGGGTTGTATATAAACTCACCCGTTGCGCACTGTCCTTGGACGCGTTCGTGACAGCGACAAACTGGGCCACCCTCTGCCTCTGGGTGGCCGTTGAGGGCAACCTAGAGCTACTCATTTTTGGTTGTCTTTCAACGTTGTGTCGTCGGGGGAGTTTTCGTCGTTCGTTCTTCGAGTGCTGGGCGGAAAGGCACAATCGAAGGATGGGAAGCTATGCTTGGGTGTATTATCGACTTGTGATAGCCTGATAGAAATTCTGTTTTGGCGAAGGTGAGAGAGCTTGTTACTTGTTCGGGCACGAGTTTGACCTCAGTCGGTTTGCGAGCCCAAAGTTCGTCGCGGGGCAGAGGCCGATAGGCGGGATCGGCTGTTTGGTTGGTGATGTGGCAGACGGACAGGAAGCTCGAAGCGCTGTTGGACGGTCTGCTATGTTTATAACGAACTGCGGCGCAGATATGGGACCGAGGTTGGGTTGGGCTTGAAGAAATGGTAAGTTGTGATGCCGTGGATTTCGGTTTGCAGGTTAAGTTGCTTTCGTTCCTTCTCGCGCGTCTCGTCGAAACATCGGAAGGCGGAGGGGGAGCGAGTCTTTACCTAGAGCGGGCACTTGGAGGTACTTAGGTACCCAGCGAAGCGGGACGGAGGGGGCCGCCGCGGGCGGAGGAACCAAGGAAAAGCCCACTGCAACCACAACCATTCAGCGCTATGAGTCCCGCTAGGGCAAGGCTGAGAAAAAAACGTCATGGCGGGGGAAGTCGCTGCGACCACAACACTTCCATGCAGTGCAGTGCGGTGCACACCTTCCCGCTACGTACCGTACCCGACCCGCCTGGTTGTGTGTCTGCCGCGGCGGCAGTGCTTGTCCCCGGGTCTTGGCATTAGACTGCTGGATTGGATGCCCGGACTTCTTTACGGTCCACCCGCCCTACCGGAGGCCGGAGTCGGTATTCACACGTGGAGATCATCACTTACACAACGGTCTTGCTTGGTTTCAAGTAAACAACCCCGAGAAGCATGGAAATCACGCCGACGATTTTACGAATGTGGAGAATATCTTTCAAGGCGGGAACATCATCTCTTCTACCGTCCAGTATCGTCACAACTTCCTACAGAATGCCCCTACAACAAACCACACACATACAGCTCAATTTGACGCAAAGCAATCAATCATATATGCGAACGCCATAAACATGAGTAACATAGCAAAGTCATACATGGAGAACCCCAAACCAAAGGTCATCCGATCATACCGTACCCCCTCAATTTTTGCACATGCCTGGTAGTAGTAGCTGGTATCCCCAAACCTCTCATCCACATCCCCCATCATGAAACTGTAACCTTCTTTTCGTTGTCCATAATTCGTCGTCATCAATCTCATCATCAATATCCGTCAAGCCCAATGGACCACCCCACCAGCAGAAAAAACCCTTCCTGTTGCCGTGGCACCAACTCTGTCGTTGACGGTGCCGCTTCTGTTGTTCTCGCTTCCTGTAGGTTTGTAGAAGCCCCATTGCCGATGGCTCGACCCGTGCACCTTCATGGTCTTGCTCTTCCCCATGTCACCACCTCTTCTTGGACCACCAACAATTCGGCCACCACCACCTCTAATGGTTCGACTCAGCCCATGCCCCTCAGAGTTCACCTAATCCCCAAGCGGCATGCCTTCCAAGTCATCCAGCAGCCTTCGCCAGTTATCTGCCAACATCTCCGAGTACTTGACTCGCTCCTGCGCCCAATCCTGCGTCAATCTCGACACGTTGTACTGCGTGCCCTGGAAGAATCGTAGCTCGTCTCTTATACATTCCTTGACAAATACTGAGCGGTTGTGTTGTGTGACAATGGATTCCTTGTCCTGTCGAAGGTGTTAGTAGACTGATAGTATATGCATAACGGAGAAAAGGACTTGCCTTGATGATCGCCTCAACAACCTTCTCCTTCTCTCCCGGCTTAACCATCCCCTCTGGCTTTGCGTTAAGCGCCTGTAGCTTCGCCTCATTCGTTTCGATGCGTCGTTGCAGGAACGGGATATTGTCCTTGTCGAGACGCTCTCTCCTGTCGAACAGATCACGTAGACTGACTAGCGCATCTCGCTGCCTCTTCAAGTCCTCCAACACACCTTCTTCCCAAGCCTTAGCTTCATCTTCCATCAGAGTCTGTGCAGTACGCAGGTGCCTGCCCATAGCTTGTAGCCCGTCATTGAGCAGTGGCACGTCGTTACTGTCGGTGGCGTAGGTGTCGGCACTGGCCTCGGTGAGGGAGATCAGAGAAAGAGCCATCCGGGCGTGATCGGCTGCTACGCCTTCTGAGCGCTTCACGAGACGATCCATGATGGTGCAGGTGCTAATGTAGAGCTCGGCACTGCGACGAACGCCTGCTCGCGTGCGCGCGAAGAGCTCCTCTAGAGTTGGGGGAAGCGAGTCCTCGAGACCGGGTGGTAGTGTACGGCCGGTGAACTCGTCTTGGACAGAGATTGTAGCTTGCTTGCGCCAGACAGCCAGTTCCTGTAACACACGTCAGCATATGCGCAGAGACAAGAAATTCATAGGTAGACATACCGTAGGCACCGTCAAGAACATAATTACCAGCTGCTCCTGGCCCAAAACCGGGTGACGCACAAGAGCGTTGAGGAACCTAGCCAGACCGCGGCGGCGCTTCTCGATAAAGGCTCCATCGTTAGAGAGATGGTTGCCGTTCACTGTCCCTGTTAGCGTAGCCCATCTTCTCCGGAACTATATCCAACTTACGAGCAACCCTCTTGGGCGGCAACAATGGCAAGACTCTAAACGGATACCGCTTGTGCAAGCAATCCAACAGCCATACAAAGTCGCTGTATCGTCGGACAACCTTACTGCCACGTCGTATGCTCGAGACCTCGTAGTTGTGGTGCTGGAACATGAACATGCCCTCCTTCTCCGGCATCAGATTCACCAGAATGTTCTCTTCCACGTTGCTTCCCGACCTGACATGTCCAATGCTTCGGTTGGGGTTGGAACCGCCGACCGGACCACCAACGGACTGGCCAGCTCCTCCACTTCCACCAAATGGACTTGTGATGGCATTGTCTGCTGGCTCGCTAAACCCTCCTACCGAGGAGTTACCGGGAAAGTAGTTCCAGGCGCCATTGCTTTCTTGAATCGACTCGGCGACGTTATGAATCGAGCTGGGACCCGAGGGTGGTTGGCTGGTGGTGAATGTGGAAGTAGTCCGGCCCGGCAGCGCGGTGCTGGTCGTCGTCAGTTCGGGACTCGTACTGTACGAAACAGCGCCATTGCCGTTCAGGTCAGGGCCGCCGATCGAGCGAGGGACATTGGCGGCGCCGTTGTGCCCCGTCGAGTGTTCTAATGGGCCATGGTTGTGGCCTTTGTGCAGGTCGGGCGCGTTCCACGGATCCTCGGGGTACTCCATTGAAACTTTCCTCAGCGTGCGCGGTTGGTGTTGTTGTTGTTGCTGCTGCTGTTGCCTGGGAGGAGACGGGGTGGGGGCTTTTGGTGGTGTGACGGGTCGTTGTGGAGGTTTCGCAGCGAGTTCAGATAGATCTGGCAGCGTAGGCACGTTTTCAACAAGACCTTGTAGTTTGGGCTGGGGAAGTTCTGGATAGCGAGGTTACGCAAGAAGGTTAGCTTGCCATGACACTGAAGAACTAACGGACCCACCCCCCGATGGCGTTGACCAAGGCGGTTGCGGATTGCGGAGCGCGCAAAGTACCAACAAGGAAGATGATGTGATGGGCAGAAGAATATGGGGTAGATAGACAGGTGAAGAGGAGGATATGTTTCTGGAAATAGTAGGAGGAAAGAAGACAGACGGACAGGCCAAAGGTTAATCGAGTTGGCGGTAACAATCAATCAGCGAAAACGGGGGATGACATATGACCGCATTCGAGGTTCGTGTTGGTTGCAATGGGTTGGCAGAACTACAAGAAGGTTGGGACTTGGGATGGATGACCACCAGCAGCGGCAGCAGCTGAAGAACCGGGAAACTAAACGCGCCCCGACACCTTGTTGCGCCGAAGCACTGCAGATACGTTTGTAGACCACAAAGAAAAAAGGAAATACAAAAGTGGATTGGACAATGCAAAAAAGAAATAACGAAAAAAATCAAAAGTAGAGAACTCACTTCGTCGTCGTTCGTCCACGCCGTCCAAGCTGGCGACCTCCCCTTCTTGGACAAGGCCAATCAAGGCCAGCAGGACGTTGAACTCGTTCCTGCCCAAGTCCAAGCCAGCGTCCCCACCATTGGCACCGTCACCCCCACTACCAGCGCCTGTAGCAGAGGCCGAAGCAGGGGCAATGATACCCATTATGCGCGCCTGGTCATCGGCGCCAAGCTTGGCCGCTGCGAGTGTCCGCGCAACACCTCCGGCTGTGATCCTTCCATTTGTGCTACCGCTGTTGTTCTCTGTACGGGCTACTGCGTCGAACGTCTCGATATAGCTCTCTGGAACGTCGGTCGAGGGGAGGAGGCTGCGGATCAGATCGGCGCGGCTGCGCTGCTTGCGCGGGGTGGGCATGTCCCAGGGCGCCGAGTCATCGTCATCGTCGGCGAATAGGGCGCTGCCGGAGCGGGCAGTGGGCGGTTCGTTGTTGTCGAAGAGGGTCGAGCGGCCGCTGTTGTTGGCCATCTTGGCTGAGTTGAGGGCGGCCGAGTCGTCGTCGGGAGGGGAGCTACCAAAGAGCGACATGTTTGTGCTGGAGCTTGGAGCTTTGGAGGGAGGATACTCGAGAGACGGGCAACCGAAGGCTCAAGGTGTGTAAGTCTGTTGGAGAAAGTTTCGAAGTTGAGTTCAGAAGAAAAGATGTTCGGCGCAAGGCGAGGTTAAAGCAAAAGGTAGGCCACTGCACTCTGCAAGGCTTCCTGTTTCTGCAACGGTTGACGGCGTGAATCTCACTGGCAGCGTCGTAATGCGACTCGTAATCTGGATGCAACGGAGGGCTGTTGGATGTAGGTACTGCTGATGGTAAGCTCGAGTTGGGATTGGCAAGGACCAACCTCAATGGGACAGGGCAAATATGGAAAAGCCAACTAGTGATCAAGTTTAAAGATGAAGCTATCGCGACCAGATCCGGAAGAAGAAGAAAACGAACAGAAAGAAGAAAAAAGTCAAAGCAAGTCCAAGATGTTGACAACGACGAGGTTTTGTCTCTAGCTCTGCTGCTGCTCGAGGAAAAGAAAGTCAAGATGCATCAATGATGACGGCGCGCGGCGGGCAGGAACAGGCACAGCTACGGCATGGGCACAGCACTGTTGGCGCGCCGACTCCAAGGCTGACACAATCCCCTTCGGGAGGGCTGCATACAGTGGCTTTTGGTAGTGGGAAGCGCGCTGTGACGGATGGACCGTTCCCGCTGGAAGCTGGAAGGAATGGACCGCGGCCAGGGCGGGAATGGGGCTTTGACCGGGGTAGCTTGCGGGATTGACATGTCACTGGCCAATGGCCTTCTTCCGACTGCCAGGTACGGACAGCAAGTCTTTGAGATCCAATGTTGACCATGTCACCACGCAGCAAAGTGGTATTTACGATAAAGGCAATCCTCATGGCTACGATGGATCGCAAAAGCAGGAACACGTCGATATGCTTGGGGTTTTCATAATTGCTTGCGTTGTCAGCAAGTGGAGTGAGTGTTGGCCGCATATGGGAATCCACTCCGTTCTTGGAGATATGTACGAGGCCCAACGAGCTAGACGCCGGCTGGACTGACAAATACGCGGATGATAATAATACAACACAAAAAGCACTACAGAGCCATGGACGGACTCCAGTACCTATCATACAACAACAAGGAGGAAGAGCGCAACAACGAGTTTTGGTTTGAAAAAAACCGCCCATAATCCCAGGCAATATTCGTGTGTTTCGTGTTCATTAGAAGAGCTTCTCCGACACCACCGCATCCCCAGTCTTGCTGGCCTTGACCTTTTCGGCCCTGACCACCTTGACCTTCTCGCCGCCCGTCGGCACCTTGAAGTACAAACTGGGCGACTCGCCGGGCGCGAGCTGGTGGCTGAGATAGCCCCTATGCGCCGGATCTCTGTAGTACTCGATATCCCAACGGCTGGTTGGGTCCGGCAGGCGGTAGTACTTCTTCTTGAGCGACCGCGCCTGCGCCAGGATCTCCTCCACGTGCTCCTTGCCCACCGGCAGCGGCTTATCGGTGTGGAGAGACTTGCCCTGCACCAGACGCTTGAGCGACTCCTTAGTGTAGAATCGGGTGACGATCTTGCCGCCGGCGGCCTCGATGGCCTCGATGGCCGAACCGGACGCGCGCGAAACCGTGATGTTGATGGGGATCTTGAACCCTTCCTTGCCGCGGCCGAGGAGCTTGATGCCGTCCTTGATGCTGCTGCCGATGATGCCGGACTTGATGATCTCCTTGGGGGTGATGGGCTTCGTGGGGTCGATACGGCCGGCTTCGATCCATTCGTGGAGCTTGTCGAGGTTCAGCTCGGACATGTCGGCAGCGAACCTATCACAGACACAAGTGGTTAGTCGCTAGTAAGTTCTTGGTATGAATAGCTCGTATCGGACAACTGGTTGAGGAGTTGTTGGACATGGCGCATAGCGGGGAGGTCATGGAGGACGACGTACTGGTTAACGAAACCCTTGCGGCCGTGAGAGACGATCAAAGGCGTCTGACCACCCTGGAACCATGGGTTGACCTTTCCTTTGGACTTCTGACCATTCATACCACGACCCGAAGTCTTGCCATAGCCAGAAGAGGGACCGCGACCCTTGCGGATGCGCTTGTGGTAGGCGCCCCTGTTGTCGGACAAGCTGGCGAGGATGGATGCGCTTCTGGTCTGGACGGAGAGGGCGGCGAAGAGGGAAATGAGGGACGACGACGAGGCAGGTACTGAAGGTCTCGTCGCTGTGAGGGAGGCCTGGCAGCATCGCGCCGCCTGGGCGAGCGGTAACCTGGGAGGCATGGCAGAGGCGGAGGCGGAGGACACGGGAGTGATGGGTCGGGGCGGGCAGTCTTCCGAATTCGAGGTCCGTTCCTCACAGCAACGGCACTTCCCCGAAAACAAAAGTTCAGGACCCGCGCCCAGCTCGCCAAATTCCGACCGCCTGCCGTCGCGGGGGTGGACCGTGCACCCGAATTGGTCAATCCCGCGCAGCCAAAGCGGATGAACGGCTGAGTCAGCAACCTATTCCCACATCCAACGTCCTCGCCAAGAGATGGTGACTCTCCAAAATATCCATCTTCGATATCACTTACACGGGATATGAATCAGTGTGTGAGGGGGTCAGTGTGATCAAAATGTCTACGTCTGGGTTTAAAGATCTAGGTGCCATCCACATATCTTCAACTTTAATCGCTGAAGATACACCCCCAAAGCAAGATGGCCACTATTGGAGTGTCTCTTGGCAACTGGAGATGCATCGCGAAAATATTGTGTGGAAAAAAAACTTGGTAATGCTCACAGTATCGATACGTCTGCCATAAGCAATATACAAACACATTTCATGCCCGGAGACTACTGGTGAGTGATGAAAATTGGTTTTTAGATGCAATCAGCGTTCGAATCACGCCAAATAATTGCGTAGGGCGCCTGGAAGGCACGTCAACCTCGAGTGTTAACGACTTGGAGCTTTTCGTGAGTGTTCAGAAAGGTAGAAGCAACATCTATTCCGCACCGGTCTGGGAGTTGCTTGAATCATCACAGGACTCGGCGCCTCGATTTGGAAGCGAAATTACCACCTCTTTCTTGCTACGAGAAAACCCACCGCACCTTCCGCCGTCAACCGGCCGGCACACCCTCCCCCAAACATCAGATGACAAGACCGGCTCTTCCCGCCCACCCTAAGGTAGCCAAGCCTACTGCCGCCTGTAGGGCACCATATAAGCTCCCTTATCCGACCCGTTTACTACAACGAGACCCCAAAGCCTGTGTCTATAGGCGCAGCGGTTCCGTTGATGAAAACATTGCCGGGTGCGTCGGTATCCTGTGGTACAGTTTTCGTAGGTCGCTAACTGGAGGATTGAGGTTCGTTCCGCAAGCTCAACAGGGCGACTTAGCTTTTTGTTTTGTTTATTCGATTGGAAAATGCATGACGATCATGGGTGGACATGTCGTTCTTGCATTTTTCTTTTGTGTTGTGGGGTTGATAAATGGGTTTGTGTTCCGACAGGGGAGGTAAAGGGGTGATAGGTGGTTTGGGTGCGACCGTAACGTGACCCCTTTCGTCTCTTGATGTGCGCACTCTGAGTCGGCAACAACTTGCATCGGGGGCAGCAAGCTCATCATCAGCGCCATTGCTTTCATTTGACGCTTCTGACGTTTACAGTATTGTTCTTTGTCTTGCTTCATCCACCCAAACGATATTGTGGGATACATTTTGGAGATTTTTTAATGGAATTCTAATATCTCAAGTTTGATGAGCACCTCGTTTCATCAATCACTGCAGGCTTGTCACCTATACCGTTCGTCTTTTTTTCTCAATGGTTTGAGGCCCGACGCAATTGTCGTAACCTCTACCGGGATTTTTGGACGACTCTCATCAGGTCACGGACTCGCATCAAATGCATCGTTGGAATTGTCCGGCACAATCATCTGAACGAAGCGTCTTGATTTTAATCTGGCGATAAATCGACAGGGTTTTCGCAATGTTCGCAACTTCGTGCTGGGTTGGGTTATGTTGTCTCCGAGGGTTCTGACATGTCGCAAGATCCTGGCACCGACTCTGCTGTGATGGCGTGCAAAAACGAGGTATGTATCTTCTGCATCCGAACGGGTGGTTTCCTTTCCTCCAGAATATTGTTCATCGACCATCGCGGCAAGGGAGTCGCCCAGGTGTTTTCTCGTTTTTGCCTGACACTGCACACTAGCCCACTCCCGACTCCTTGCCCGGGCCTTCTCCCACCACCGGCCGACATGCGCACTTCCCGCCACTCCTTGCTGCCAGCCGGAGGAATCCCTTCATCCCATCTCCTCCCGGACCGCCAACAGGCCCCAAACCTGCCCCGACCCCTCCCTGATGGGTTTATAGGTGCACTTTCCCAGCCCAACAATCACCACAACATCCAGCGGCGGCCACATGGTGCAGCGGTTGGGTCGCCCCATTCTGTTCTCACTGCGCGAGCTCGTGGGTTCGATTCCCAAAGGTTGCCAATGTCTTGCCAGACTCACCGGTCCTTCGAGGAAGCTCAGACACAACACCACCGCAAAGTAGACACACTGGTATACCTTGTGGTAGCAAGCTACATCACCTCCCAGGGAGAGATGTCCTCATCGGCCCCCCGTAGGGACGGCTTTGGGGCCCGTAGCAATTAATTCGTGTCGCTGTGGGCTTCCGGGAGTATTGGCTTATGTCTCGCACCTCCGACCCCATGGTCACGAATTAGAAATGTGTTGGACCGTCGCACCTATTTTTTTTTTTTTTTTTTTATGGTCTTGATTGAAGACTTGGTTTTGCTTTATAGAATCCATCCATACCTTGATTCACCGCAGACTACTAATCAGCATAGTGGCATGCTTAACAGAAAAGAGCATTATTGAAGATATTGAGTCGGGGCTTCTGGACATCGTTCAGTGCCTACCGTATTTCAAACCCAATGACTTCGTAGGTAGGCTATGCACGTGGATATAAACATGAGCGAAACATAGTGCTGGACAGAGAGAGGTGGCATGGATAGGTATCTCCAATACTCCGTTGATTGCAACGATTATTCCGGAATCCGAGTTTGAACGACACAAGTTCCATGTCGGAACAACTGGCTGTAAAATATGCAACCGCCAAGCATGAGGCGGTGCCGTCCTGATGAATGGCAGATGCCATTAACATTCCGGCAGTGGGACAAGTAAGCCGGTGAAGTGGTGTTCGGGTAAAATCGAAGATTGGAAGTTCAATACCCCTCGCTTTGGCCAAAAAAAACCCCCCAAAAAAAACAAAAAACCGTCACAAAACATCAGTAGGGGCTTTACCTTGTGCAACTAGAAACATGTTGGACAGAGTTATTCAGGGATTCTCCAATCTACGCAGAAGACGGTTAGGAGCTGGCTTTGTTGTTGTTGTTGTTGT